CTCGTTAATTTAGTTTAATTTTACTTTATGTCTTAAGCTATGTCTTTCGGTTGAGAACCTTTTCAAATACAATTTTATAAGTCATAAAAAGAGAAGTAAAGTAATTCTTTTCAGTTCTTCAGACAATGTAACGAAAAAAGGATTTATTAGATAAAATTTCATTATCTCAATACAATTTCGTAATAAATAGAGAGATTACTTATAGACATTTACGAATTGTGCGAATTTTGCGAAACTCAAACGCAAAAATATTCAGTTTATCGGACGCTGAACCGGGGCGGAAAGTAGGAACAGGACGAAAGTAACGCACTTCCGACACGAGGGTCTCCGACACGAACTCGGGCGCGATCGCGATCGAACTTCCGTTCGCGGCAGGCTGCCGTCGTGGTCAGAATTTCGGCTCGGTTAGAGAATCGTGGGTTCGCGGGGAGAGGAGGGACTCGTTCGTACGTCCGCTACGCGCGAGTGTGCTCCTCCGGAGCTCCGAAAATAAGTACGTAGAGCGCATTGGGCAATCGAGACTCACTTTAAATTACAAATGAAGCGGCCGGCATACGTGAGGATAAAAACAGGTGAGAATCGAGCCTCCGCGCTCGGTTATGGGGGTGGGCGGATTGTCAGGTACACATACGCGCACACTTAGATGTGTGGGGTGTATGCCGTTACGAGTTACTGTACTGTACGTGAGTTACGTACGTGCGTGCGTACGTAACGTATGTACGAACATACGTGCGTCATGTACGTGGCGTTTTAGATCTCAATCCCGATCCCGATTCCCCCTTGATCCCGATCGGCAGCTGGACTTCAAGAACGGACGTACAGACGGATACTTGCTGCGTACGAATTGTTGCACGTGCACTTGTAACTCTGACGGCCAGTTGCCCGGCTCCGCGCTCTGCGAATCGAGCCGATCGACTACCCCGATAGGACGTATACGCCTTTGCGTAGGAAGACATTTGTCTTCTCGGCCTGATTCTACCTACTTTGGATTGTCCGCCTTCTTCATCGCGAATGGCGGGGGAGTGCGTAGAAATGTGTTGACGAAGGTGGTCGTGAGGTAGTGAAATATTTGCGCCGCCAGATTATTTGTTACTTCATATTGCATGTCTCTTCCGAATTTTTAGGTCCACAATGGGAATGACGAGATCATTATTTCTATTTCAATTAATGATGAAATTTTATTAATCAAACTTTTAAAATGCTCTCTTGTGAATAGAAAATAAATGTAAAAATGATAGCAATGTGCCAATATATAATATTCGACGTGTTAAGAATTTTATTGAAAAACGGATAGTTATTTGACACGACCGATTAATACGACCCGATTAAATATCCGTTTTCAATTTTCATATTCCTTTAACGCGTCTGTCACGTAAAAAGATTTCTAGCACAATAATTTGTTCGGACGGTCTTTTCGCATTCGTTTGCTGCTCGTGTGAAGTAGCCCCGTCTCAACCCCTGAGAATAACCACCCCGTGGCGAGGTGACGTCTGGCGGCGGAATAAGGAACGAGGAAACGAACGAGTGGAGAAAAGGGTGAATCGTCCTAAGGTTTTTGTCTGTGCTAACTCTGGTAGAATATCGATTACAGTGAAGCGACAATGGTAAATGCGAGCAGATGTGCGATCACATAATACACTCACTTGTACAAAGAATCGAATGATGTATTATCGAAATAAAAACTTAAATAGTTAATTTTGCGAAGGATATCTAAAAATAAACTATAAAAAATAAAAAAAATTTGTAGAGCTTTTAAATATTTTTTAAGATTTTTATATTCTTTGAAAAAAAATCGCTTAAAATTTGTACGAAATAAATAATGAGATATCACCGAGCAATAAACCGGTGTAGTTCCAGAGAGAGTTCAAATTCAAAATTTGTAAAGTGCAAGAAACATCTCTGTTTGTTGTTGCATGACAACGGAAATGTGAGATATACGAATTAAGAATTACGATCCGATTCACGCTTAAGACGAAAACACAGAGTTTTGTTTAACGCACAATACATAATAAAATGAAGCAATCATCCTTCATTTCTTTTCTTTTCATGAAATAAAATATTCTGATTGATTGATTTTTTTATTTCTTATGCGTTAAGACTTATGCAAGAATCTGTTTTTCCACCTTTACATGATTTAAGAATCATTTCATTCTTATTATTCAAATTATTATACAATAAGTAATACATTCTTATTATTATACAATAAGGACAAATGATGTTCACGAGCGTTGTGAGCGTGAATCGGACGGCCAAGATATATCCTCGTAGTTGCAGCGTCGAACAATTGAACTCACCGAGTTCCGTTACATCGGTTATATCAATCCACGACCACCTTCATGCGCGTTATCATATTACTGTGGCGGACACGCCGTAATACGCGGGGCACACTACTTTATTCGTCGGGAAATGAGATTAGGATCGTCGCGACAGTCGCGATTTTCGTCGAATCGTCGAATCGGAGGAACGTGCAGCACGCGAGCCATCGAAACTGACGGCCCGGATTAAGAATTCTAACGGTAGGAGTAGCCGGTCGGCTGTAGGATGAAATGAGCGACGCGTCCGGCGCATTACGCAATGAAAGAAACAAATGAAGCTTAATAGAAAAACTGCCCGCGCTAGAAAAACC